AAACACAAGAACAATTCAGTATGGCGAAGAAAAATACCTTCTCTAGACACAAGAACAATTCAGTATGGCGAAGAAAAATACCTTCTCTAGATTATGAAGAATCAATTATTACAAATATCTCCCTCACAATCTCTATGGCGAAGAAAAATACCTTCTCTAGATTATGAAGAATCAATTATTACAAATATCTCCCTCACAATCTTACTAGAATCGAGAACAACCTCTCTAAACCCTAATACAATGATTAGAATCTCTTTTAATTACCTCTCTGATTTTGTTTTAAACCCTAAAACAATCCCTTATATAGGTGTACAAATGAGGGTGGAAAAGTGGTAAATAATCAAGCCCAACCCAAACAGGAAAACGCGTAAATAGAGTAACGAATCTGGAAAGCTCCGATGAGTCGACTTATGAACAGTTATGAGTCGACTCATGACCTCATATGAGTCGACTCATAACTGATGAGTCGACTGGTCAGAGATGTTTTGCTAACAGGGTTTGAGTTCTTGAGTCGACTCAAAACTGCATATGAGTCGACTCATGACTGATGAGTCGACTCATAAAATGATGAGTCGACTCACAGGCTAAAATCTGGATACTTTGTTTCTTCGATTCTCTACCTCGTTCCTCGCTCTAACCTGCGTTCTCCTGTACTGATTGACACCTCTATTCTCATGCTATCATGAGAATCATCTATCCTCAAGCTCCCATGAGGATGATTGACACCTCTATTCTCATGCTATCATGAGAATCATCTATCCTCAAGCTCCCATGAGGATCGCTAAAATTTCGAAGAGAAGATACACCCGTATCATGGGTCCCCTCTTTAGGAACTTGAAGTCTCGTTCAAGTTAGAACTTTTGCTGAGGAAACTCTTGAGCTCCTCCATCTTTTCTGCACCATCTGGCCCTACTAGGAACCTGGTCTCGATGTCCGATCGGAAACATCTCATCCATCCCGCGTCTCGTCGTAATCACCTTTCGCCCCAAGTTGCAATCTTTTATCGATGGTTTTGCTGGAAGTCTAATGCATAGCGAGACAAACTTCTTGCTTGCATTCATTAGTCTCTTCGCTCGCGTCACCGTCCCCAAGCTTGTCTCCCTCGGAAGAGATGCCGAACGAAATATAAATTTTTCACCATCCTTAGTGAAGGTGTACTTCTGAGCCCGCCTCTCGTAGATTGCATATCTATCCCATAAGTACGGATTGCCCAGTATAATCTGACAAACATCTAATGGAACGACGTCACACATAACCTCGTCAATATACGACTCGTGGAGCGCAAATCTGACATTGCATTGACCAACTACACTCAGTTTCTCCTCCTTCTGAATCCACCCCAATGGATAGGGCTTCGGATGCTTGACCGTCTTTACACCCAGCTTCTGAACCAATGCCTCTGATATCAAATTCTTCTCGCTGTCCGAATCAACAATGGTATAAACCAAACTGGTCTTCACTTACAACTTAAGAACAAAGAGTTGCTCTCTCGGGTCGTCGTCCTCTTTCGTGGTCTGCTTTCCCGTCATAAGGTTGAGACTGCTGTTGGGCTCTGTCATCCACGGTACTTCTTTCGGACCTTGAGCTATCATGTATGCCTTTTTCTCCTCCTTCTTCAACCCTCTTGGCTTGAGATGATGATACTTCTCCCAGCACCGATCAGCTGTGTGCCCTGTCTTCTCGCAGTGACTACAAATCAGCTCTGTCTTTCCCTGATCACCTTTCTTCTTCTCCTCCTTAGATTGAGAACCACTAGACTCGTCTCCCGTCTGTTTGGAGTCTCCCTTAGCCTCGTTGCCCTTCTTTTGCTTGCCCTCGAGGGCAATAGCCTTTACGCTCGCCTCTGCAATTGATTCCATGGTGAATAGCTTCATCTCCTTTCGGATGTAATCACTCAATCCCGTCATATACTTCATAAACACAGAATATTCCTCTGTCGTAATGTTGAGGACCATCGCCTGTTGCTGGAACTCCGTGGTATATTCTTGAATGGTTTGATTGACCCTTTGACGCAAGCCGTATCACTTGTACCAACGCTCTTCAAGGAATCCCACCGGGTAGAACTGCTTCCTCGGTAACTCCTTGAATTTGTTCCACGACGCCGTCTTCTTCTCCTGTTTGCAATAGGATTTCCACCACATCAACGTGTGCCCTGAAAGCTTCAATGTCGCGAACACTATCTTCTCTTTTGACGAATAGCCATAAAGAGTAAAATACGTCTCCATCCGCTCGATCCAGTCATCAAGCCTCTCGACGTCAACACTCACATCATAAATAGGAATCTCCACCTTGAAGTTAATCTTCAGGTTCTGATAAGAATTCTTACCTCCTTGATGCAATGCAGCCTTAACGGTCTCCTCCTCCTCGTCGGAATCTGAATCTACTCTCTCCACATCGGACTCAACAATTTTCTTCGAAGAAGATTCACCTTGTTTGCCACCTTCATGGATAAGACTGATGAGTTGTGTGAGAGTCGAACCTATCGTCTCGATCTGCTTCTCCAATGCATCAATCCTCGTGGAATTGTCTCCTTCAGCCATCTTCTTCCTCCTTAAAACCTGGACTCCTTCCAATGAAATAAGGATCTCGCCAAGCTTCTTGTATTGCGATCGAGTCAGGACCATACACAGGATGCCCCTTCACCGGATCTGATTGCTCTGATACCAACTTGATACGAGTCGTCATGCGAGCACCCTTTGGTCGCGGAATTACCAAAAGGTGGGTTGAGAAGAAGACAACTAAAACACAAGAACAATTCAGTATAGCGAATGAAAATACCTTCTCTAGATTATGAAGAATCAATTATTACAAATCTCTCCCTCACAATCTCACTAGAATCGAGAACAACCTCTTAATCCTCTCTAAACCCTAATACAATGATTAGAATCTCTCTTAATTACCTCTCTGATTTTGTTTTAAACCCTAAAACAATTTCTTATATAGGTGTACAAACGAGGGTGGCAAAGTGGTAAATAACCAAGCCCAACCCAAACAGGAAAACGTGTAAATAGAGTCCTTAACGAATCTGGAAAGCTCCGATGAGTCGTCTCATGAACAGTTATGAGTCGACTCATGACCTCATATGAGTCGACTCATAACTGATGAGTCGACTCATAACTGATGAGTCGACTGGTCAGAGACGTTTTGCTAACAGGGCTTGAGTTCTTGAGTCGACTCAAAACTGCATATGAGTCGACTCAAAACTGCATATGAGTCGACTCATTACTGATGAGTCGACTCATAAAATGATGAGTCGACTCACATGCTGAAATCTGGATACTTTGACTCTTCGATTCTCTGCCTCGTTTCTCGCTCCAACCTGCGTTCCCCTGTATTGATTAACACCTCTATTCTCATGCTATCATGAGAATCATCTATCCTCAAGCTCCCATGAGGATCGCTAAGTTCCGAAGAGAATATACACTCGTATCAGGCATGTCTAATCATGAGCTAGCATGCCCAATCATGAGCTGGAATCATGATGGAGGGCACTGGACACAGTTTTTTCAAAGAAAATGGGCTGCAGCACATTAAAAAAATGTGAGGGGCTGGGGCACATTGAAACTTGAATTTTGGGGCCTAGAAGTAATTTTTCCTTAACTTTTTCATGAAGGATCATAATTATTTATTAGATAATTGATAATTATGATTATTAAAACGCAATGTTCGTGCTAACTGAATGACGTATACTAATTTTTTACTATTCGAAATAAAAACTTCAAAACGTATTTCCCAATACTTGCATCCTTCCTAAACTTGCGCGGCGTTTTAAATTTTGAAAAGTACCCCCTCGTTGCAGCGATAAGTGCTCATCCATTGCTGCGACTCGACTCTGCATCCCATCCCCAGTTTTGGATATCAAAACCACCGTCCATTTTAGAACTTCAGACAGAAATAGGAACACGGCAATCCCGATTTAATTACAAATGCGGGTCTCCTCGAAGAGAGCTTGCAACTAAAAGTGCCCACCACTTGTTTGATCAAAGTCCTCACAGAACCCTGGGAAGCACAGATGAGCTCCCTCTTTGTCCCACACAGCCAGCTTCTCTTCGCTCCAAGTAACAATGCGGGTCTTCTCAAAGAGGATCTGTTCTCAGGTCCCAACTCTTTGGTTCTTCCTCCCTTGATTCCCGGCTGCGATGAGGAGCTTGCGGAGGAGGAAGATATTGAAAGCTCCATTATTGAAAGCCAGAAGCTTCTGAGTGAGCATAGTAGCTGGGGGATTGGAGGACCATGCAAATACTTCCTCAGAATCTCCCGGCCCTCTCAACTTGTCTCTGCTATGCGGTAAGCTTGCTCAAAGTAAACGCGTGTTTTGATTTTATTCTTTTTTTTCCAGATAGAAAACTACATATTTTGATAAAATGTTAAAATAAAATGAAATAATAAATATCTAGTTTGACCTTGTATGGCTATCGTTATAATTGGGTAAATGGGGGGCTGATGTGTAACTCCAATGTTTTGGCTAGTGTATTTCTGACATGACATATATTCAACTCCTCGAAGCCACTTCATGAATACACTCAAATTATAGTCGATAATTGATGGTTCTAGATGTGTGTCATCTCAGCAATATACCAAAAAAAATCCCTCCAGCCCCTTGGCTATTGTACCAAAAAATTGGTTGGAATGACACATCAGCCTTTTGGCTAGTGTGCCGTCGCTGTAGCACTGGCACGTATGTTGACCTCAGCAGTCCACATCAATAATATATCCAGAACATAATCAGCAACATACTATGCAAGTTGCTTGCGTGACACGTCAACCCTTACGAGTTCTCATGATGTCAAATTCATAGCCAGTGATTGAAAAACTGTCAAAGCCTATTTGTGGCCTCCTTAATGCACATTTCCCCCTCTCTGGAGGACCTCGTGTTGATAGGGAAAACTCTGATTGTATATTATTGCAGATATTGTCGATCAAGGTCAATTAAGTTTGTCACAGTTGGTAACGGCTCAAACTGCCTCTTCAGTGACCGGGGGTT